AAAAGAGATAGAAGAATCCAGCTCAATCTATTCGTCCAAATCTGCTTCAACCTCACAACCGGCCTTGCTCCTATGTAGATAAAAGCATGAATTGGCCAACAGAATCTTTGAAACCGAATTCTTCTGCATACCAGAATCATGGGATGCTTCAATAAACCAGCAAAATTAGGATATAAGAAATAGCTAAGGTTACACTTGACTTCCATTCTTAGCCTAGGCTTTGGTCAAAGAATATCAACACAGAAAAAATCGCAACAAGCATCAATCTGGATCACGGGATGGTGAAAAAGAGTATATTTTGCCAAATTCAACAGCCACAACGTCAAATCAATCCTCCTTTAATTTCTGGAGTTGCCAGTTAACTAATCCTTCAAACCAAAATTTAATCAAAATGAATGGCAAGAAGTTAATGGTCATTAAGGGATTCTCTAAAACCTGCCTTTTATCTATATAAAATACATATTTCTTTTCTTATACTCACGACATCTGTTTCGGCGCTATTTGCCTCTAAAAGGGCTAACATGATGGACGGTGAATGCAGAAGTTCTTGATTATAATCAAAGTTGAGTTGGTGGTCAGAACAGCTCATCCAGTTTTCCCCCGAAACGAGGCATTAAGCTATTAGGCATGTTGTACCCAACCTTTTATTCTCAAATAAACCCGGATTTAGGCTTGTATATCACTCACTTTTTTGGAGAAGTAATTGTGATTGGAGCGATGATGAGACTCGCTAAGAAAAGAAAGTTTCAATTTCGTACGAGCCCCTGGACCGAATGAACCTGCTCGACATTCTTGAAGTGGGAGGTAGAAATGTGTAGATTCCTCCTATCTTAATTGTGAAGACCAAGGATGTGTTGCTTTTAGTTTAGTCGCAATCTTTTTTATCTATATCAAATTCTTGTTTACAAGGAGATTTCGAAGAGCTAGCCCTGTCCTTCGTCATCTACCATTGTAATTAGGTGTTCTTCCAGAACAGAACCGTTGACCAGAAAACCTCTCAAATTTGTCACCTGTTGCAAAATCGGCATCGTTTTACTTGTCACTTTGCCGGGTTGTATTCTTGTTTTATGATTGAATCATATCTCTTTTGCTGCCAAATAAGTTGTGATGAGATGTCTGAGAATGCATCTCATCAACGGTCTAATGCTGAAGGACCACAAGACCATAATTAGTGAGACTTTTTTACAGCCTCCCTTTTCTGCTTTCATGGTCAATGTCGTGTTTAGTAGAACCGACTTTCATCTGGGTACACTTTTTTGCAATTAGATATGCCCTCTGTTTGAAAAACTTGTCCACACATTGTATATGGAGCTGTCATTTATCCCTCTATCCCTTTAGCATCCCACCAACAACTAAGCATAGGCCTAACCACCTAATGCAAACATGCATATCTGCACAGACACACAAACTATTAGGTTTATCTAAATACATATATACGCCTTCATTCATATACACAATGATGCATACATGCATACATTTGTCTGATCAGAAGATGTAGGATTACTGTCCTTAGGCAGACCAATCGCTCAATTCGACGGTGTCGTTAACGCCTTCAACGCAATCCATGAGCGTCGTCTTTGGTTCAGCTGAGTGTCCTTAAACGACGTTCTCCTGTTCCGGGTAGTGATTGAAAATTTCCCTCAAGATTACATGTCGACTCCCTGTTTATCATTGCAACATTAGTTTGGGTTAGGATAGAATAGCATTTTCGCCATAATTGGCATGAAATGGTTCATTCCCTGTACACATACACTGTGTCTGGTTATAACGTCAAACACGGCGTTCTAGACTGCAATTGGCCAGAAATGCAGTTGCTTCCCTCCTGTACCACAAGGAGGTGACAGAGTGGGCGTATTCTTTCCGCCAAAACTGTAAGATCCATTTCGAGTCTGCGACCAACACATATGCCTACATATGAGTACAATTTCATGTGTATGAGTTTTTTTATGAACACATACATCGTCTTACCTATTTGGTCTCGGCCAAGTCGGGCAACAATTATTCTCCTGTTGTGTCATTTTGGGCTTGGATTCGTCTTTTATGCAAGATGCATCATTTTACATATCACCTTAAAACGGATACAGTACTGGGCACAGAGACAAACATGCCTACAAGCCTAGCCGCTATGCGTCTGTTGTTGTGTCTTGCTGTACATCCAAATAGTCATCAGCGTGTCAGTCAAAGAGGTCTCTCTCCGACTCAACGCGACGGGCTTCTAGATAGAGGCATCCGAGGCATTCAACACTGAGCTATGCACAACAAAGTGTATACGAGGTTGACATACATGCCGACTATTAGAACGAGACTTCTCACTGCTCTCACCCGCTAGGCCTGGAGGCCTGAGACTCTGACTCGCATAGTCTGGCCTATACTCTGAGTGCAGACGACAACTGTAGATCTGCTATTCTCACCCTTCCTCTCCTCAGCCCTCTATCTCCGCCTCGGCGACAGGATAACGCAGCACCAGACACAAGAGGTAGAAGGGTTTGGTATGAAGCGCAAGAATGGCTATGAAAGAGCAGAGAGATGCTGCTTTTTAGACAAGCGCACACAAATGAGGCGATAATGCACACTTACTACTGGGCGAGGTTGGATTCTCTGAGCCTCTGTTAAGAATTCTGTTGGTCAGCCCACTTTCACTCAGACCTCTACTTCTGCTGGGCCAAGGTAAAGAGGAGGAAGCAGAGAATGGGAGGGGGTAGAATGAGACTTGCTGTAGTGCTCACCAGACAAGCCGGCAGTTCTAAAAGCCGTCTGCTTTGACAAACGCAAACAGTTTTTGCGGTAAAATAGGCAAGAAAGGAGACAAGCCAGCGGCGCCAGCGCAACAAGTCATGCTTGCCACGTCATCAACTGAGTTCAACTCTTCCCTGATATCGGCCATTCTGTCGTTGACGGGAGCCGAGGGTAGGAACGTCTTGTCGCAGCGACTTGACGATACGAGTCAACCTGGTCTTCGTCGACACTTTAACTATGATATCGGCGAACATTACCAAAACTACTGGGCGCAAAGGCAGCAAAGGGAACAGCAGCCTGGTCTGGATGAGGCATTTTCAGGCGAAGACGCCAGAAGGTCTTTCAACGATTCTTTCAATCAAGCCAGAAACTCTTCATCTCAGGCCTTTTTGCTTGATGTAACCACGGGGACAGTAGCAGAATTTGAAGGTACTAGGGCGTCTGCTGAGGTGAGAATGGAGACTTCGACTGGAGTCGGCGCAAAGTTAAAGTTCAGCATCCAAGAGATTCTTGGCCAGAACAAAGCGTCTGAGCTGCCTCTTCTCCGCATGGAAGAAGTGACGCCCAGCAGTGAGGTATCTGATGGTTGCGGGTACCTACTCAACGGAAGCACAACCGGCCAAGCAACTGGAGGGCACTCGATGGCCGACTCCTCCTCGGCCATCTCCTCGTGCTCTTCGTGTTATCGACAGGAGGAGGAAGAAGAAGTAGAGGGCGACGACGAACACATGGAAGAAGAAGAAAAAGAAGAAGAAGAAGAAGAAGAGGTGAAAAAGAAGGCGAAGAGGGCGGTGATAATGGGAAAAAAGCAGATGAGGTTTAGCCTGGCAAAAAGACATCAAGACCCCGGGACCACAACGCTTGCGAGTTCGCTGGTCACACTGCAGCCAAGAGAGGGGGAAGTGCTTCCAAGCGGACCCTTCCAAATCGGCAAAAGGGCGCTAAGTACCTGCCGGCTTGAACGGCGATCTATGAAACTGGCAAGTTGGGAAAATCGCTCACGGGTTCGCCAGGCAGTTGGTCGACGTGCTGAGTTGAAGAGGTACGAGGAGGATGGACAAAGTGAATCGCCATTCCAACAGAAGAGTGAGGGCTCTGAACATTCATCAGTCGGTGGCCAACTCACCAGCTCGTCTGGGACAGGAGCATGCATTTATGCAGCCAACATACCAGCAAAAGCTGCAGCTCAGATGACAATGACGACATGCCTGGCTTCTACCGAAACGATCCCACGGAGAGGGAGCAGAAGGGTGGAAGAAATAGAGTTTACAGTGCCATCGGCCGGACAAGAAGCACATCAAGAAGAGATATGCACCTCGTTGGAACTTAAAGTGCCGCCTAGTCAGGCCTTGGTGAGACAAACGGAATCCGGTATTGATGAGTACTCAAGTCTATTCTGGAAGTTTCTTGGGAGTATCGACGTCGTAAGTTTAACTGTTCATCGATATATACAAAATTGATTAAAATGTTGATGTGATGATCGAGAGAGGGTCGCAGGATGCCTCCCAGGGCATTGATAAAGGAGGTGGGCACCACCAACGAAGGGTCACTTATTCAAGCTTCAGGTCAGTTTTAGTTCAGAAGTGGTTTTACCTCGTTTTCACAACTTGACTGTGTTGTCAGGGCGGCCTAAATAAGCATATCTTGTCAGAAGTCCTCTCTTATAGTAGTTATGATACTTCTTAGCGTCGGACCGTGTACATGGTACATTTTAAGCTGATAATTATCATAACTACTATAGCAGAGAACTTCGGACAAGCTGCTTTCATCTAGGTCGCCCTGACAACACGACCAAGTTGTGAAAGCGAGGTCAAAGCATCTCACTAACTATTTTATCCTGTGTAGGATTAAGTCGAATTAGGCTATATTTCTGAACAGCCTTCAAATTTTAGTTTACTCTCGATCAAAAACTTATGCATTTTGCTTATGAGCCAATAAAAAGGAAAAGTAATGGAGCCTGACTTAATAATGACTCTAACATGTTGGGTTTGACTGTACTAACTTGTATACCTGAGCTGTTTCACATTAAAAAAACAACTCATCCAGGTTCTAGAGCTGCCATAAATTGTGCTTTTTTAACAAGAATAACTTTAGAAGTAGATGTTTAATTTACTTTTATAAGTAGAATTTCGGGATTACCAGTAAATCAGTTATATGAGATGTATTCCCGCTATTTCGTTCAAGATTATGAAGGGCTAGTAATTAAATTTTCCCACAATGATATGAGTAGACATGACGTTCCCATTGAATTTCGCATAGCGTATAGTCTCTAGACCGTACTTTTGAATGAAAATTAAGGAGGATTTCTTTAGAGTTATAATGAAAGATTAGTGTAAAAAATTCCTTGGCGTGACCCTAATGGGTCCATTCTTAGCTTTTGTTTTTTATGGTATAGACATCGTCAGCTTAGGAAAACATGCTTTCACCAATCCCTATGACAAGAAAGGTGCCTCTAAACGGCGAGGGCTAGGCCCAGTCAAAGATTCTTTCTCAAAAATGTATTCACAACTCCGGGGTAACTTCCTTTGATTTTTAGTTAGACAAATTTATAAAATTTATTATATCCGCCTTAATAATCAAAATTAATGGTACAACAATATTAGCTAAAACATCTGGAATTGGCTGCTTATCTTGAACTTCCCTGAGTGACCGACTTATTTCGGGGGGCGCCCAATCTTCCTTGTATGGAGAAGTATTCACCATGCTTCGTGTAAGGTGATGAAGGACTGGTAGTAGAGGAGAGGACATGTCAAAAAAGACCCCTGAGCTTGCTGAGTTCCACTTTTTCTGGTACTGCTAGACCTTAATTCGAATCTCAACCCTTGAGACCTATCATAATTACTCCGGTTTAGACTTCCTTCGGATCCAAAACTTTAACTATTTTATCAGGATGTTTGGAGGTCTAGCAAATGGAAAAAATTGTTTCTCACACCCCTGAACTTTGCCTATATGATGCAGTTACCTTGTACAAGCAGATTTTACCTGACAGTTATTTTGTGGTTGAAACATAAATTTTACTTTTGAAACGATTTTCTTTTGCCGAGATGAGGTAAAGGAGGATCCAAACTTACAGTACATAAGCTGAAGGTCAACAAGCTCCTAGTATAACTTTGACAGGGGTAGCGCATCGCCAAAATTAGCCAAAATTGGCATGAACACATTATGATCTACTTTCTACAATTCTTTTGGCCATCTTGGCCCTCATTCCTATAGCAGATCCAAGCTTTATACGTATTGAGTATATTATAGATCAAGAAAATTTGACAATTCTTCTATACACCCTAAATATATTAGGGTAAAAATGAATTTTTGAGAGGAATAGACTAATTTGGCTAGTTAAGTTCAATGCCCATTAATGTGCATTTCATTCGTATGTGTGCAGATCTGGGGATAAGGGCACGTAACAACTTGAGACTTGGATACAATTTAGTTTTATATTACTTGAGGCGTTAGTGCTACGTCCAGCCTCTGTGAAGGGTCCGAATTACTATAAGAATGGTGCCCAGCCCAGATGATTTAATTAAAGTTATTTAATAAGAGGAAGTTAACCACTTTTGCACCTTAGTCTACTCACGAACCGCTACAATAGATACTCATATGAAATGAAATTTGGCCCCAAACCAAGGCGTTGTCATGATGCGGACAATTTGTGGAAAGAAGGGCTCGTAAGGAAAGGGAATGTTTTTGAATTTAAAGCCTCATTCACTCTGTTTAACCAGAATTGTGCAGTTTCTTTCAGTCTTGAGTACTGAAGAAGAGGTGAGGAAAACTGGAAAAGTTAAATCTGTATAATCGGCTAGATGAAATCTTAATTCACAAATAAATGAGCCCTTATTTTATCGTCACCTTATGAAGTACAACCCACAATCTCTGATACACGAGGTGACTTTAATCCACTGGTGACAATAAATTAGTAGAGGCGAAGAGAAACTGAGTTTCGATTAATCTACTGAGATAACATTGTTTTGGAGACTTTCCTTTCGTATAGGCGCTAAAACACACACACACACACACAGCTATCCGGACAAAAGTAGCTGGAGCAGTATGAAAGATAATTAGCCAAACTACTCTATATCTACCTCGATTTTTTAATTTTATCGTGTTTAATTGAGTCTATATAAAAGGTAAGATAGAGCCGGATAGTCTTCTTGCCCTAGTATTAACCTGAGACTTTTACAGGGATGAGACCCAGCTCTGATCATGTCCATCATTTGATGGACGAAAGCTCAGCCCATTTTCACACGAAACGAGGGAGAAGTTCTCGTGGACTACGTCAACCTGAACGTCGTATAAAAGCCAAACGGTTGCAGTACAACGGGATTCATCCGTCCTCTTTTGGCGAGTTCAACCTACGAATATCTTCTTCATGCACTTTCATACGAAATGAAAGTCTCCCCAAGTATAAATTAGTAATCTTTTACAGACAAAGAGGTACGCCACGATTCAATTTGTTGGGGTCTCATACTAACCATGAACTAAATATCCAATTGTAACAGCTACTGTTCTCTATTTAGGAATTCCAGAAAGGGTAGTGAGTTGCCCTTGGTATTATAATAAAAAACTGTGATTATAATTAAACTCGGTCACTGAAAACTTTGAATAAATTCTAACCTTCTTAAAAGTAAGGAATGTTAAACTCTATCTTTCTACTCTATTAAAAGCTCGGTCAAATGCACAAAGCAAGAATTTGACCTCAATCACGATGCAATACTCTAAATTAGGTTTTGCTAACTTAAATTCGGCTAAGTAGTGAATTTTTCCACATTCATTTATCTCAAATCACCGAGAAAGCCTGCTTGTGAGTAAAAAGCATGAGTGCAGTTTGGAAGACAAGCTGGGCAAGTAGAATTACGAAGATCTTTCTTTCCACGGCAACACAAGATGGCGCGAGAAAAAAGCCAACACTCCTCAGATGACCTCGGCGATAATTGTGGCGGCAAATGTATTCAAGTTGTCTCACCATCTACGAGGCTACTTTATGAATCCTAGCCCCGAAAATACACACAACACAAATGTAGGCAAGACTCAGTAGAGTGGATAAAGAAGAAAATGACTCGTCTCTTTGCCTAGTACCAGCTTGCTTACAGTTTGGAGACAGATACTTGTAAACTAGGCTTAGAATGCAAAATCCCTATTACAACAGGCCATCGGCACCCTTTCCAGTTAAACCTGTCGAGCTAGGGAAAGGTACTTCTGAGGGAGCCCTGAGTTGTTCTGCCAACCCCGCTAAAATCCGTATTCTGTTCACATCCAACGCCAGGATTTCTTAATTTAGAAGAAAAAGTTGACAATAAGAGACTCGTAAATTGGCTTTATCATAGTTATTTGTGGTTGAAATGTTTAGTTAGACCAAAGATGTCTTCGGTGTATGAACAAATGCTGGCTTTCGAAGAGCCCCTTGGTGGCTTGGTGTGACTCGTCTTTACAATTGGAAGGAAAAGTTGAATGAAGGGAATTTGGAAATTGGCTGTAATGGAAACCGATAAAGCATTGCCTTGGAGGGAAGGCTTTTGGATAGTGCGAGGTCCTCGACTCGCCGTTCTGCGACCGCGATGAAGCCAAGCTGAATTTAAACCTGTCATGTGTCCGACATCGTTATAGACAGAAATATTTTGCTGAAAACCGCATCAATATGCTAAACCAATGGAAAAGGCTTAGAATATTGGTGGGTTTTTCCCAAAGTATGTCTTCTCGTTTTGATGTTGTCTCTCAGGGCAGGGCAGAAGAAGGATTACACTAGAAGAATGGAGACGGCGCATTAGATGCTCCTCACGTACAAATAATAACAAGCTTGTTGTTGTGGCCACTTTCATTGCGAATGAAAATGCGTGAAAAAGAGATTCTTTGGTTGATCTCATCAAGGACAATAGCTGTTTTCCAATGTTCTGCACCCTTTTAGCTTTAATGCAACGTTTAGATTGCGGCAGTCCACGAAACATCCCGCCCCGTTTAAAGTAAAACCAAGCTAAGCTTTCGTCAGTCATATGACAGGCAACGTCATGGCTGGAACTCATTATTGCAAAAACTCCAAGTTACCGCTACGCCATGAAAACTATCCTGC